AGATACTCATATAATGGTAGAAGATCCCAATGATGAATGTAACTGTATTTTATACCTAAAATGTACCAATAAACTTAATGGGAAAAAAAATAATGTATTAATATTGGTTCACCATTTGAGTAACAAATATACCACCCTAATGCGAGTAAAGAGAAGAAACTCTGTGCAAGTGTGTGTAAATGAATATGGGAACTCTAATAATCTATAACCCTAAAACTGCTCTAAAAAATAAAAGTCTATTTTAAAAAGTCTAAGTCTAAAATAGAGATTCATTAGTAATAATATATTGAAGGAAAACTGGAAAGAGAGGAACATTCTCACTCTGAAATTTGATTAGATGTAGTTCCACTTAGCAGCTGTTAAAGTACAAACTGGTGCTCCCAGCCCACTCTTAAAAGTGGTGGGTTCGAGCCAGGTGTGGTGGTACACCTGCATTCCTAGCACTCTGGGAAGCCAAGGCAGGAGGATGGCAAGTTTGAGCCCAGCCTGGACAATTTAGTGACTTAGCGAGGCCCTTTCTCAAAATTTTAAGAAAAGGGCTGAGAATGCAGCTCAGTGTGAAGGCCCTGGGTTCAAACCTCAGTGCCAAAAAAAAAAAAAAGTGATGAATTGGACCTTCTCTGCCCATGGAGAGGCTGAACCTTTCCTTTCATTCAGGCCAGTTGAGAACATGAGAGTCCCAGCCAAAAAAGAGCCCAGGTTCAGAAATCTGACTCACGTTTCAAGATCCATGTATACAATTTTGTGTTTCAGGACAATGACCATTTTGAGAAAGCCAGTGAGAAACAGATCAGGTCCTCTGACCTTGTACCCAGGAGTCTTTGCCAGCTCAACTCTTACTCTTCCATCCAACTATTTGGCTGACTAAATAACAAGGTGTCTTATTTTGCATAAATTTGCATAAATAAATTCTAAAAGGATAAGAAAGTCAAACACTGGGGGAACTAGACAGATGGGGAAATGGAATGGGAGTGAGTGAAACTTTTCACCAACTACCTTTTTTTATGTGTTGAACCATTAAAAAGTTATTCAGATTTTAAATAAGAACAATAAATATTGAGCTGGGGTTGTAACTTAGTGGTAGAGTGCTTGCCTAGCGAGTGTAAGGCACTGGATTCAATCCCCAGCACCAAAACAAAAAACAAAAACAAAAAAGAGAAAAGAAACATCATTATTACCATCTATTTAGTAAGCAAAGGGAAAAAAAGAGACACCCATTGTTTTGTTTTGTTGGTACCGGGGATTGAACTCAGGTCCTTGTGCTTGCGAGGCAGGCATCGGAACCACTGAGCTAAATCTCTGGCCCCAAGACAACTGTTGTTAATCCAACTTCATTGGTAGATTTTTCAAGTAGCAATTTCAGGAAAAGGAATGGTAAATATTTTTGTAGAGGTTAAGGAGAAAATGAGCACTTTCCCTTTGTGTTTTTTTGTTTTAGTTTGGTTTGTTCTTTTGTACTGAGGATTGAACACAGGGCCTTCACACTGAGCTACATTGAACTACATCCCCATCCTTTTTTTGAAACACTAAATTGCTTAGTTGCCCAGGCTGCTCTCAGACTTGGCATTCTTCTGCCTCAGCCTCCCAGAGTACTGGGTGCTATGTGCCACCATGTCCAGCTTCTGAGCTTTTATAGTTTTTTCCTGCCCCTATTTAGATTCCACATTTTCTTTAGAAGCTTCAGGGGATTTAGCAGGGGATGTGTTTTAAATAGTCTATCATAACTGGTTGTAGGGTGTGAAAGAGGAATGGAGTGAATTGGGGGAAAGGCTGGATTGTTCTTTTTAAATTATTTGAATACTTGTATATACTTGTGTCTTTGAAGATGTATTTTTCCTTTTTTTTTTTTTTTTTTGGTACGGAGGATCGAACTCGGGTCCTTGTGCTTGCAAGGCAGGCAGCGGAACCACTGAGCTAAATCTCCAGCCCACAAAGATGTATTTTTCTTATGGTTGATAGGAAATCCTTTCTTTTTCACTATTGATCTAGATCACATTTACTCCAGTGGTGTCTCTTTCTTATCTGATCCAGGGAACTATAAATTGGTTCCTATGGGGTGCTTAGCTCTCTGGAAAATACAGGCATGTAGGCCTTGGGCATGTGTGTTCCCTTAGCATTATTTTAAAGTCTTTGTTCTGACCTTGCCAAGTGACTGCCCTGCATAGTCATGAGTGATTTTCCCTAAAACTGACTTGGAGACAGAAGAGAAACAACAACAGAGTGCAAAATTGGAAGGAATGCAGTCTACAAGTAGCCTGTCACCCACAGACTTGTTTTGTTTTGTTCTGCTTTGTTTTGTTTTGTTGTAAGATTGAATCCAGGGCCTTTGTACTGAGCTGCATACCCACACTTTTTTATTTTTTTATTTTGAGACAGTATCTCACTACATTACTAAATTGCTCAAACTTGCATTCCTCCTGTCTCATCCTGCCAGAGTTGTTGAGATTATGCCCAGCTACCCATTGTTTCAAATTTTTCTCCAGTAAATTCTAGAAGCATTGCTTTTGGGAATTCACTGGACCAGAAGTAGAGTGCCATTGTTCTAGTTTTCGGGGACCTGATTTAGAGAAAAATGTTGTGCGTGACTGGTGCTTAGAGGTACTTTTCCTTGTCTTGCTGTGAGAACGAATGAGGGAACACTGTAAAGTGTTAGAAGCATCTGCCTTCTGAAGTTCCAGTATCCTATAAGGCAGAATGAATCATAAGCAGATGAAAGAAAATGTTACAATGTAAATGGATACCGTGATAAACTTGAGTTTTAAATAGAGTAGTTTAAGGATGCAGGATAGACTAATTTTAGCATGTGCATCCTTAGCCCAATTTAACCTGAAAGAAATATATGCAAAATTGATGACTTGAGGTCTCTCACATTAAATTTTCCTTCATTAGGGCCTATTTTATTATTGTTCATGACTTGTATGGGATAAAATGTCTTTTATTTTCACTGAAACCATTAGATTTGAGACATATTCTTAGCTTTCTCTCTGGTTTATCATTATGTTTTGTGTTAAGAATAATCTCTATAGTCACATAGATAATTTTTTGGTCAATAAAAATAGGTGTTCTGAAGTTGACTGCTGTGTAGATTTGCACGCACACCTCAAGATGCAGGACTTAAACCTTTTTTTGTTTTGAAGTTACCTGCAGTGGAGTTATTCAGATCGTGGTGGTGATAGAGAAGGCAGAAAGGTCATACCCAGATTAGGTGGCCTTGGTATTTTTCTGATCCTTACAAGGGAAAATAAACTTGAGGCATTCATAGATGAATGGATACACCTTGAGACCATAATATTTAATGAAATAAATCTGACATACAAGCTTAAATATAACATGGTTTCCCTTATAAGAGAAGCCACAAATAAAAGATAAATAATAGGAAGTAGGGAGATCTTTTTCAAATGGGAAGAGGAACAAGAGATAGAGGGAAGGGAGGGAAAGGGGATTTTTTAAAAAAAGAAAGAGAAAAATGGAAATAGAGCTTTTGCAAATGGGAAAGGGACGGAGAGGTGGAAGGAACAGGATGGATGGGAGGGGTAGGGAACAAAAAAAGAATTAAGAAGTGTTATGTAAATGTACTTGGTTCCCACAATAAATGTAATTATTATGTACTGCAAATATGTACTAATAAAAAACATTTAAAAACAGTAAATGATTTATTTAGAAATAGATATTTCCTGGGTGAATAATACATAGATATTAATTTAAAGTACTTTTTTTAAGACCTTGAATTCTAGTATTCTTTTTCAGTGCTGTAAATGATTGCTACATTTATTTTCTAATATGTAACTTTGTACTTGAGGAATATTTAAATTTGAGGATCCATATGAATCAACGTTTCTATATGGTGTTGAAAGATTCATCATCAGTTTTTCCTGGATTAATAACTGCCTCTTAAGGT